CCCCAACCCCCTTCCTGTGGGTGGCACAAACGGTTGGTTCCCTGTTCCCTCCACTACTGACTGAAATGTTGACAGTTCAAACCCACCTTGAAGCAAATTGGAAGAAAGGCCTGGCCATCCACTTCCAAACCATGAGCCTTTGAAAACGCCGTGGAGCACAGCTCTACTCTGACATCCATGCAATCTCCACCAGGCAGATTGGCGTCTCAGCAGAGTTTGGTTTTGGGTGGTGCCAATAGTGAGTGGGCTTCACTGCTAGCTGAAAAGTTGATGGTATGAATCCAACCCCAGATGCCTCGAAAGAAGGGCCTAAATCTGCCACGTGGAACCCCACTGAGCTCAGTTCTCCGACATACTTGGGGTCTCCTTGAGTTGAAGTCAGCGCTATGGTGTGGCAAGTGATTGGGCCCCAGAAGGTAAGGTGGATCCAGATGTGCACATGATTTCATGCATGTGGTTGTGAAGTGCCATCATTTGGTTCTGACTCATACCAATCCTGTATAGACTTTCCGAGGAGCAGATGGTGGGTTTGAACTGTCAGCCTTGCAGTTAGCAGCCAGTGCTGATTCTGTAGCACCACCCTGGGAATCTGATCTCACACATGTATGTATGTATTAGACTGCCTGACTCCTTGTCGTGGATCTGAACAATCAGAACGTACTGATAGGCAAGATGATGTTCTCACTGGTTTGTTTTGATTCCCTCCTAAGCGCCTGTCTGTCAACTGATTGCGAGGTGAGCTAGGACCCTTAGTAGACTCCGCCCTCTCTGCGCAGGAGCATCACCTGTGAGGTGTCTCCTTCCCACACCTCCCCCAGGAGGACTTGGTCTACCTCAGCACCACCGTCTCCCGCCTTTGCGAGCGTAGTCCCCCTCTGACCCGCCTCCGAGCAGCTGTAACTGTTATTTCCACACCGCAGATTCCAGCATCACGGCCCACTTCTGGGAGACAGTACCCGATGTTGCACTTTTGTGCTTTCACCCCTTTTTGAAGGTGTGTTTGCCTGTGTGTTGTAGCTGTAGTGTGCCAGGCCTGCATTGTAGCCTAGGGAGTGGGGAGGAAGGTTCACTGGGCGTCCCCTGTTCCTGTGAACTGCTGGGATCCCTCGGACCTTGTCAGTTGCTGGCCAGTCACATCAGCACTGGGCTGATTGCCACGGGATACTGACATGACACACAGGGCTGTTGAAGATATCCGTGGTCCTGGCCAGGTCTATATCTGCCAGCAAATGCGCCTCAGGGTCCCGGTCCATGAAGTCTCCCGCCTCAAATCTTACTGTATCACCTCACTATCTCTGTTGAATAAAACCTTTGTCACATGTTCACATCTTATTTATCATAATTGTACTGTTTCAATGATTCTCCAACAACAAATCTGTATGAGAGTGCCTTTTTTTTTTTTCCTCACCCACGCAGACCTCCAGCTGTGTGTTTGAATAAAGTTCATGTCTTGTAACCTAACTTTTATGTGTTTGAACAAAGACTCAGCCAACTAGTGTCTTGTTTGGTTGGGTCTCTCCTTCATCCCAGTGTTCAGGTGATGTTTGCTGAGCACTGAAGCACTGTACAGGAACAAGGTCCATGAAAATGCTGCAGACCACCATCCTGTCCTCTAGGCCAAGGGGGTCCAGGGGTTAGGGAGATGGTCCGTTTGGCTTCAAAGTAAAACCACTCACGTGGGGCACACACATTGTTTCCTTTCTTCCCCATCAGCCTGGCAGCTTCCATACAGACCGAGTTGGGATCGCTGAAGAAACTCCAGGATTCTCAGGATAAGAATGGACATTTAAAAGACAGTGCGCTCATCCCAACTTAAAAGAGCAGTTGCCATACTTTCTTAGGTCAACTTTAAGCTATAAGTTGAGAGAAGTCAGTAGGGAGGTAAACATGCTAGTTAGAACTAGCCTCCACAGGAAAACCAAAGGCAACATTTCTCCCCAAACAGCTGGCAAAGCAGGGGCAGGAAAGGAGGACTGGGAACGGGAATCCAGGGAGGAAGCGGGAAGAACGCTGTTCCATCAGGGCGTTACAATGTCACGAAACAGGATGTGTCTACCCAAACCCCATAGTAAGATTAATACGCAGAGCGCCTTCTGCCCAGAACACGCAGCGATGGCAAGACAGTGTCCTGACGTGGGTCGTGGCCAACAGCGAGTGATTCCTTCTACTAGGGCTTCCAAACTTGGTGCAGAAATTCCAGCCTCTTGAATGCCATTTGTCCACTAACCTTCTGAAGATCCCTGGTACCTGAGACATCCTGGAGCCAGGACTGTAGTGAAAGGTGAAATGCCAGTTTCCAGTTCATTCCACCGAAGTGAAACCTACACGGCAGCTTGTCCTGCTGCCCACTGCATCCTCCCTTGGAGTAGAATGAGTATAAACAATCTGAAATCAGGGAGGCACCCATTTCACACCAAAAAAACCAAGTCCTGTTGGTTCGGAATTGTCTCTGCTTCCCATGGTACATGCCACCCACATACATGCTGCAGCTCACACGTGTGTATAGCTGGCCATTTGAGGCGAAGTCTGGCCCGGTCCGAATGGCCTTTCCAAGCCTTGCAAAACCATAGCGTTTGAAGCTCTCCTTGATAGTAACTCTGTGTAGCGGTTCCCTTGCGTCTACGCACGGCTTTGATGCTCTACAGGACATTGCATTGTCGTAACACGGAGATTCTGACCTTAAAAGTTGTACCACGATGGTTTTCTTTCCAGAAAACTCTAGTCTGAAAGAGCAGGGGCTCAACATGAAACTAGCCAACTCGAAACCCAGCTCTGACGCTTCATAAATACTTGTCTTGCCTTATTCTATCCCGGCTTACCTGTGAAATGGGGGTATTAGATACTTTGTAGCGTTGAGGGGGGAGCACAAACGGTTAAACGCTCTGCTAGGTGGTTTGAACCCGCTCAGAGGTGCATCAGAAGAAAGTCCTGGGGATCTGTAAGCTCTCACAGGGGAAACCATACGGAGCACAGTTCTGCTTTGGTACTCATGGGTCTCTGTGAGTGGGAATCAGCTCACAGTTAGGTGAAGTCAGCTGCCCGTAGCCATATGTTCAGTGGCAGGTGTTTGTCAGAACTGACTTAGTACCCTTGTAGCACGGTGACCTCAGTGAGCCAGGGAGTATCCTCTCACTGCCTGGAAGCTACACACGTCCACTTGAGAAACTTTGTGGAGTGGATCCTGTGGCCTAATTTCTGGGGTCTGCAGGGGGTCCTTCTTGTTCCCAAGCACCTGTCTTCCTCCAGTGACAAGAGTGTGCCTCTCCCCTACTGCTTCTATGACAAGTGATTCAATTTAGAACCCACCCTGATGTGTGGGGGGTGTCTAAGCATAGCACAAACAACCCTCCTTCCAAACAGGGTCTCATCCACAGCCATATACCCAAATGCCATCTGACTCACTGCACCCTGGTGTGACATAACAGATGGAACCGTGTGTGACAGAACACGCTCGCTGTGATTCGACTTAGAGCCCACCTTGCCGCTTGGTAGGGGTGTGTGTTTGGGGGGTCTGTTTAGGATGACAGCACTGCCTCCATTCTGACTCAGTAAGACGCTGTAAGACAGACTAGAACTGCTGCATAGGGTTTCCAAGGCACTTAACAGCAAGCATTAAAAGACAATGGAAGGAATACACAGAGGTAGCAGATGATCAAGAGCTAGTGGTACTGAAGGAAGAAGTCCAAGCCACACTGAGGGCATGGCCGAAAACAACGCTCCAGGAACTGACAATACAAATGGAAATGAATCAACAAGCATGTGCAGCCCTGGAGACTCATGTATGGCAAGAAATTTGGAAGACAGCTAGCTGACCAGATGATTGGAAGAAACCCATTATCTGTGTGCATTCTGAAGAGAGGTGATCGAACAGAATGCTGAAATCATCAGGCAATACCATTAATATCACATGCAAAGAAAATTTTACTGAAGAGAATTAAAAGCCAGCTGTTTCTAGGCCAGGAGACTCTGAGGCAGTTCCTCTTTGTCCTCTAGGGGGTGTCATGAGTCAGAATCAGCTAGACAGCAATGAATGTAGGTGGTTGAGGGTTTTGTTTTCATCTTCACAGATCGACAAGCATTTTCTCCCACAGAGCCACTGGGTTAGATGGACCCACCAACCCTTTCAGTTAGCCCGTATCCATTGCCCCACACATTACGCAGTGTTTATACAGATTCATGGATTGCTGGTATTGGACGTTCTGGAAGAATTCTGTGGATTTTCAGAAAGAATTCTAGGATGCCCAGGTGTGTCCACAGCACACGTGATTGATGCGTTAAAAGACAGAGGGGCATACGTATAGCTGTTGTTGTGCAATCAAGTTGAGCAGCTGGTGAGCTTGAACCACTTCCCTTGCAGTTCAAATGGCAATGCAGTCTGGCCCATTAACCCACAGTGCCACACACCCTCCGGGAAAGATGGATGCCCCAAGAGCCAGTGTTTACACAAACGCACACACACACAAGTGGGCTTCACAATATTCGTGGGAGAGTTCCATGAAGGCACATCGTGTCTGTGCATGTATATAAAGTTGTGATGAGAATAAGCATGTGAGACCATGTGGTGTCACACCCATTTGTCCGGCACAGTGACCTTAATGGTCTCCTGGTG